CGCAACGATAATCCGTAAATCGCAACGAGAATCTGTAAATCACAACACTGAAATTTTGGGTATATAACACTGAAATCATAAACTAAATCCCTAAATCGCAACTCATTCCATCTCCATCTATCACTCTCTCCGGCGACATCCGTTCCTATATCCAACGACATCCTTCCCAATCCGGCAACAGGTTTTAGTTTCGCAGCTCGTCTGTTTAGTAAATTAATTTACAACCATGAAATCATCTAATGTTGATCATGTTTGGATAGATTTGTGTTTTGGAGGGTCATGGGATAATGTTCATGGTGTTTTACAATATATGCCTTTACCCATGAATCTTCAACTAAAATTGTCTTTACAAAAGTTAACTTATGAAACTCTAATGCTACGTGTTTCAAATAAATTGAATTTAGAGCCCCTAAGTGGATTTAGGCTATCTTATCAGAGAAATGGTAAAGTTTATTTGTTAACCGACAATGAAGATGTTGAACGATTCATTGCTTACATTAGTGTTTCACAAGATGATGTTACATTGTATGTTGTTGAACCTAGAAGTAGTATTGTTGGGTCAGTAGCGGGTAGTAATCAACTAAGTTTTTCTCAAAACCCACAACCTTTCTCTAATCCAAATCCCAATCAACTTTCAGCACCAAATTCCGGTTTTCGTATTGACCAGTTAGACGATGATGAGCCAACAGAAAAAATTGTGAGTACTAGTCAGTATTCGAAATTTGGTCTTGGTCAATATCCGGATGACTTACAAACAGTTTTTCCACCAGCCATGGACAGAAGGCTACCTGGCCGACCAAAAAGTCACGATCGTATACCGTCTAAGGGTGAAGAGAAGAAGAGATCGACATGTAGTCGGTGCAAGGAAAGTGGTCATACAAGGTTGACATGTGGATCACCAGTGCCATCAAAATCATCTTTTCCTCTACCAAAATATGGATCCTCATCAAAATCACAATTGGCTTCACCTTTTGGGACTGTTAACTTAGGTGATTTTTAAATGCAAACGTTGTATTATGTGGATTTTATGTGTGAACTTTTAACATTTTCAGTTGAATTAATGACTCAGGCCAACCATTTTGACTTAACCAACTCTTGTTATTCAGTTGTTATCACTATTAGGCATGCATTTGACTATCGCAACACGGAATTACAATCGCAACGAGAGAATCGCAATGCGAAATGAAAATCCCAACATGAAAATCGCAATGCGGAAATGAAAATCGCAATGCGAAATGAAAATCGCAACGAGAGAATCGCAATGCGAAATGAAATCGCAATGCGAAATGAAATCGCAACGAGAGAATCGCAATGCGAAATTAAAATCGCATTGCGATTCTCCCGTTGCGATTTTCATTTCCGCATTGCGATTTTCATTTCGCATTGCGATTCTCTCGTTGCGATTTTCATTTCGCATTGCGATTTTCATTTCGCATTGCGATAGTCAATTTTGCCTTCAACATAATGCAGATTGAAATCAACAAAATCAACCATTACATTTCAATCAATTAAACAAGCACAAATAAGAATTATATTCGCATCAATTACACAAATCAACTTTTACAAATCATCTTTTACAAATCAATTAAACAATAAAAAAATAAGCAATAATTCTTATTTCCGATCATATACTATTGAATCAACTTTTACAAATCAATTAAACAATCAAAAAACAATCAATTAAACTATTGAATCAACTTTTGCAGCCATACATCATTTTCACGCAGTTCACTTCTGAGATTAACCTGCAGAAACCAAACATTTGCTCAAACAACACTTTCTACACATCTAAAACCTACAAACAGCAAATTATTGAATTCTAGGTACTTAACCAAACATTTTCAAACCAAAAGTATATAAACTTACCAATTGTTTATGGACATTTTTATAACGCGGATGCAGGTAGGCAGCGTCTCGTATATATCGATTTAGCCATATAATGCCGAAACCACAAGCCTACTGCAGCTCTATCTCTATCGGTGGGAGGTAGATACTTGATGCTTCCCGTCGTCAAACGCTCCAACGCCAAGCATACGAGAGGACCACAATCTCCTCTGGCTCCGCTCGTTTGTTGTGGCGCGGTCTCGTCTCTAATAACTGTAATATTGAGCTTCTTTGGCTTCTTGTTTCCAGAACGAGTCCAATAATTGATCGCATCCAAGAATTTAGCCAAATGAGAGCTCCATCCCTTAATAACATCTCTTAAATCAGCCAATGATATGTAATTTATCATGCTGTCATACACTATTGTCTTAAGGGATGGGAGCTGAAGCTCGACGAGAATCCAATGTTTACGTTCCAAAACAGGGATAAACACCTGCAATCATAAGTAATAATTCATTCATTTGCGCACTTATTTCATAAAACCTTTAAACTCAATCTAAAATAAATACTAACCTTATCGACCTCCCACCATGCAGGATAAAGTTTAGCTTGTCCATTGCCCAAATCAAATGATTCATCTCGTGCATTCTTCAAGTGAACGGCGTGAAAAGACGTCGGCATAATTGTATATCGTATATTTTTATTTTCTTAAGTTTTCTTATTATTAGAAGACGTGTCACCCACGCATCGATATGCTGTTTTACAAAAAAAGACATATATTAGTGACTTACATAAATTTAAAAAAAAATTAATCAAATTGAAATATAAGAAAAATATAAGACTTACCCCCCCATCGAAATAGCCATTGTCTTCGACCCCTAATAATACGCCCACCAAGACCGATCAAGCAACAAATAGATATCATCGGTGAGCTTGCATATGTCAGTGAAACACCCCTGGCTCTGCTCATGTAGATAAAAATCAACAGCGGTCTTAGCCCAAAGGGTGTTATCCAGAATTGTGTCCGGTAGTTGATCCCTCTCCTCTTCAGATACCGGTATGGTACTGGCCGGTAACTCATACGAGAGCCAACTTGAATCCATCATGTCCGGCACGTCAGAGGGTTTCTCAAGAAGCCTACATATGACGCCATGTGAATCGGGCTCTTGAATGGTGGGAGGGACCTCTTCAATGATGACAGTGGCCTCTTGAACGGTGGGAGGGGACTCTCGAGGAATGATAGGGGGCCTCTTCAACGATAGGAGTGGACTCTTGAGGATGACAGGCGAGTCGGGCTTCTTCTTGCGGTGTCTTCGCACTATTGGGGTGTACGGAGACTTAATAGCACGTGCACGCTGTCTGATGCGTGAACTCCGTCGTGCAAGCATAACCCGACGTAAAGCATCCACTCTATCGGGCCGCTAAATAATTAAATACAAAATCAGTAAATAAACAGACATGATATTTAAACAGTGAAAACAAAGACAAATATGTTTCAAACTTGCATTGTATTCACCCAAGTCATTATTCTATCATAGTTCACAAAATGCATCAGATAACAAAGAAAAATATGTTTCAAACTAATACCCTGAAGTTAGTATTTGTCTTTGTTTTGTCTATTGGTTGAAGTAATGCAATCCATTCAAGTTTCAATTTGCAGAAGAAGAAATAGTTTACTTTCGCAACACGAAACTTAAAATCGCAACGCGAAACCAAAATCGCAACGCGAAATGAAAATCGCAACGACAGAATCGCAATGCGAAATGAAAATCGCAACGAAAGAATCGCAACGCGAAATGAAAATCGCAATGCGATTTTGGTTTCGCGTTGCGATCTTGTCGTTGCGATTTTGGTTTCGCGTTGCGATTCTGTCGTTGCGATTTTCATTTCGCGTTGCGATTTTGGTTTCGCGTTGCGATTTTAAGTTTCGTGTTGCGAAAGTAAACTATTCTTCTTCTGCAAATTGAAACTTGAATGGATTGCATTACTTCAACCAAAAGACAAAACAAAGACAAATACTATTTCACAGTGTTAAAGAATACACAGTTTAGCAGAATTGGCAGCAACCGAACAAATTTACTTTCAACCAAAAGACAAAACAAAGACAAATACTATTTCACAGTGTTAAAGAATACACAGTTTAGCAGAATTGGCAGCAACCGAACAAATTTACTTTCAACCAAAAGACAAAACAAAGACAAATACTATTTCACAGTGTTAAAGAATACACAGTTTAGCAGAATTGGCAGCAACCGAACAAATTTACTTTCAACCAAAAGACAAAACAAAGACAAATACTATTTCACAGTGTTAAAGATTACACAGTTTAGCAGAATTGGCAGTAATCGAACAAATTTACTTTCAACCAAAAGACAAAACAAAGACAAATACTATTTCACAGTGTTAAAGAATACACAGTTTAGCAGAATTGGCAGCAACCGAACAAATTTACTTTCAACCAAAAGACAAAACAAAGACAAATACTATTTCACAGTGTTAAAGAATACACAGTTTAGCAGAATTGGCAGCAACCGAATAAATTTACTAAGCAATCTAAGTGAAATGGCTAATCTAAGTGAAATTACGAGTAAATTTATCATTAAGTTAAATATGGAAAATCTTAAACTTACCTCGTTGCGTAGAGTATGAACCTCATTCTGCAACGATACTATCATCTCACGTAGAGCGGCAACCTCACCACGTAAAGTTGACACCTCCACACGCCATGCACCATCGTTATCGCGTAGAGTACCGATCTCCTCACGCAAGGCATTGACCTCATCACGTAACTCCCTTGACTCATCCCGTTGAGGTGGAGGTGGAGAACAGGGAGATAGGAGTCGTGGCATCTTTGTCGGTCGCCTATCATGAGGTGATGGTGGAGAAGAGGCTTGATGATGTGACGGGATAGGTGATGGCTCTCGTTCTAGAGGTGTATAGTCGGGTCGATCGGGTGATGGCTCTAGGTGAGGTGATGGCTCTCGAATTGGAGGAAGTGGATGCTGCTCATCATCCGTGCCATCAAAAAAACTCTGACTAGCTTGCCACCAATCAATGGCAAGCTCTTCCTCCGTGGGTGTCAGTCTTTGTAATGGAATGTTGGCCTCCTAAAATATAAAAACTCAAACAAAGTTAAACGTCTACTATTAATAACTTGTTTATATATTATATGAAAGTATTTGTGTTAACTTACATTATTTATTGTCGCATATGGTATTAAGTCTTCCCAATCCAACAGAGTTTTCCTCTTCCAGGAAATAGCCCTGGGAATATCATTTGACGTTTTATTGCATATGTACGCATGCTGGGGAAAGCCTCGAATATCCAAATCTACAAACAATAATAACAAAATTAGTAATTGTTAAATAATTAATTATAATTTTAGAAACATTATATAGAAATTCTTACCTTAAAGGCCCAAACAAAGCCTGACAAAGTGTATTTGGACCCATCGCCCCGCAAACTTTTGCGGTCATCAAAGGCAGACGACAACTTAGTCCAGGTAGCTTTCCATATATACGAACCCCACGGAAACAGATTCCATGCATTCAGGTCCTCTACCATATTATTAGCTCCCGATGAATAGGTTGTCTGGCCTCTCTGCCTAAAAAGCCGGCATACACAAGTAGTAGAAGGCATACTCGGACAACATCGACGTCATTCATCCGAGTGAAACCAGCTTTCTTATTAAACAATTTCTTCAGGTCGTCGACATGTAGGTTCGGCTTCTCCATTGACTCATCCGGAAAAACCCGGGATAACCATGATGGGCGGGCGATATGACGAGTGTACCGGCCTACATCATCGTGTCCGAATCGTAGACCAGTGATTAAGCAGAACTCCTTCCGCCCAAAACAAGTATACGCTGGTGGAAAATGAAACCATATCTCTTCCTCACCACGTTGTATACTGTCGGGTAGATTTGATGTCATGGTCTGAAGCCACAATGGGTCAAATTAGCATCTCCACCCGGATGCTGTACTCTCAGCCATGGCCCGAAGCAGGTTTCCTCAAACAATTGTCTTTGAGCAGGTGAAAGCTTCGAAGCAATTGTAGTGGCCAGGCTGACTTTATTTCTCAGGTCAATTGAGCCGAAAAAAATTTCTACAAAACAATAAACATACCAAGTTAGATATACCAAAAACTACACTGTGAAGATATACCAAAAACAATAAACATAAAAAGTAGTAGTTTATTCTTGAAACTAAAATTTGCAACACGTTTTGTCTTTTGGTTGAAATGAAAATCGCAACGAGAGAATCGCAACGCGAAATGAAAATCGCAACGAGAGAATCGCAACGCGAAATGAAAATCGCAACGAGAGAATCGCAACGCGAAATGAAATCGCAATGCGATTTTGGTTTCGCGTTGCGATTATCTAGTTGCAATTTTCATTTCGCGTTGCGATTCTCTCGTTGCGATTTTCATTTCTCTCGTTGCGACAGTCATTCTCTCGTTGCGATTTTCATTTATCTCGTTGCGACTCTTCTGCAAATTGAAACTTGAATGGATTGCATTACTTCAACCAAAGACAGAACAAAGACAAAGACAAATACTAACTTGAAAATCGCAACGAGAGAATAGCAACGCGAAATGAAAATCGCAACGACAGAATCGTAACGCGAAATGAAATCTAAGTGAAATGGTTAATCTATTATTGAAATGACCAGTAAACTTATCATCAGTTTCAATATGAAAAACCTACAATAATGCAAACATTTCAAAATAAAAATAATTAAAAAAACTAACCCTCGGAGGTTGATTTTCCATTTCTGAATATTGTGAGGGATTTCTGACCGTGAATGGTTGTGAGGGATTTCGCCGGAGATGGGGACGGAAATCTTCGGAGATGGGGACGGATTTCTTCGCCGTAGAGAGTGAGAGATGGAGATGGGACTGAGTTGTGATTTTAGGTTTTAGGTTATGAGTTGCGATTACGGGATTTTGTCTTAATATTGGTTTTTGTAATTTGAAAATAAAATACGCGTAGCGATTATAATGGCGCTTTAAATATCGCGTTGCGATTTACGGATACGCGTTGCGATTTTATGTATTATCGTTGCGATTTACGGATACGCGTTGCGATATACGGATACACGTTGCGATTTACGGATACGCGTTGCGATTTATGTGTTCGCGTTGCGATTTTCATATTCGCGTTGCGATTTTTGGAAAATCGCAATGCGAATTTGTACTATCGCATTGCGATTTTCAAGAATCGCGTTGCGATTTTGGAAACTGATTTGCGATTCTGGGGATCGCGTTGCGATTTTTATTTCGCGTTGCGATTTTGTTGGTCATTTTGGCAAATCCAAAAAAAGTTGGTTAAAATCGTATATTATAACTTTTTTTTGGTCACTGAGGCGATTTTCTCAATAAAATATTAAATGTCACCTACTTTAATGTAAATAATATTTATAAATTTGAAAAATTAAATATAATTTAAGTGTTCATTTTATAATAAACACATTATATAAATGTAAGCTTCGTAAAAGATAAAATAGGGAACGAAAAAATAAATAAATAAATAATTACGTGGAAATTTTTGATTGCATTTGAGGAATAATTTCAAAATCAATTAAGAAAGGTGGGAGAATATTGAAAACCTAACCAAATACGGGGGCGAAATTAAAAAATGAAAACCATCTCATCCAATTAGAAATCTCAATGGCCGCCTATTATAGTATGATAAAAACCATAGCCATCCACACGTATCTAATAATATTTTAACTACAACCATGTGATCAGTTCAATAAGAAATTTTATAACGGTATAGGCAAGTTATTATAATAGTCTCATCTAAATTAAATATATCTTAAGACTTGAATTTAGTTGTTGGATATAATTTGACATCTAATTTTCTAATTTAACTTTTAATTCAATTATCATAATTAATAATTTATTTTAAATTTTAAATAATTATTTTTATTAACTTTATTAATCTCAAATTATATATACTATAATTTATAAATATAAAAAATAAATATTTTAATTTAATGATTATAATTGATCATGTATTTAAAATTGTGAAGATGCATTTTGTCACACTATAATATCATAAATTCATAATCTCACAATTTCATAAATTGTAATTAACAAGTCAAGTAAATATCAAATCAGTTCAATAACAAGTCGGATCATTTACATGTTGAGTCAATTACATATCAGATTCATAACAAGTCAGATTGATAACAGGTCGGGTAATATCAGGTATTTACTAAGTTAATCTTGGGTTCGGGTTCATATCATGTTGGGTTCGGGTTCATATCAGGTTGGGTTCAATGATCACATTATCAGGTTCAGGTCGGGTGCAAGTCATAATTTTCCGAGTCCAAATCGAGTTTAGGTCAATACCAGTTCGAACTCGAATAGATTTCGGATCACTATCATCTCGGGTTACAAACAGTTTTGACTCAAATCTGTTTTAGTCAATTTTATAGCTCGGGTGAGTTTTTTACCTCCCTAATCGGTGGATAAATAAAAACATCTACGTACTTATGTTAAGACGCCAATTTGTTAGGAAACGACCGAACCGGAAGATAAATCCAGTCCTAGTTGAGACAAAAGTGTTGATGTCCAACTATTTCAGCTTGTTCAACTATAATTCATCATGCATAATGAACTAACAGCTAAGCTGAGTTCAGATTTTCCAATCGGCCACAACGGTTTGAACATTTTTAAATAAAGTGGTTGTGGGCCTGTGGCCTCTCAATCAACCATATCTGTTAGGTAGGATTTTATTACACGTCAATAAATTAATTAATAAAACAATATAATAAATTATAAAAATAAAAATTTGTTTTTAATAATATATAAAATTGTAAGCCATTAATACATCAAATACTCGCCTTAATCAAAACAATTAAAATTATGGGTAATATGCTAATGTTGAAAAGCTTAATTTGGCTCTCAAAAGATCTTTATAAAAGTTGCAATAAAGTGACCGTTACACAGGCATGAGCATGGGGCATGGAGATAAAGACATGCAACAATGAAGGTATCATGTTACTCAAGAACGGTCCGGGGATGAAAATAAATAGGCTAAACTACGTATTTAGTATTTAAATTATTAGTTTTGATATGTTTTAGTATTTAAATTTTTGATTTTTTTGAAAATCATACATAACTTTAGTTTTTATTTCATTTTAATATCCCACCATTCAACTTAAATCGTTTAGCACATAAATTATAAATTTTGGTCCGTTTTAGTACTTAAACTTTCATTATTTTCAAAATTTAACGTTAAATTTTGAACGATATACTAAAATGAAACAAAAACTAAAGTTTTTAATGGTAAGATGCTAAAATGAAATTAAATTTAAACTTTAGGTATGATTGTGAAAAAAAAATTAAAAGTTTAGATACTAAAATGTACCAAAACTAATAGTTTGAGTACTAAATGCTTAATTTTCCCAAATATATACATATAATCAACTTGAATATGTTAATATCTTCTAATGTTTTATCAATATTTCATAATGTTTGGCAACTACTCGTTCAGGGAGAAAACTGGAGAAAGAAAGAAGACAAGAAGCTGAGAAACAATGGCAGATACTTAAACAAAATAATTTAAAAAAGAAAGAGTTGGACTGAAGGTATCTATCTATCAACACAAGTGCTTTTGGGGACATACCCCTGCAAGTATGTCAGAAATATAACCTGACATTCCTTTATGTTCGATGATTAAAGCTCTGTCCATCCACATGCACTCTACCAACTAAAGATAAACCCATTAACTTTTGGTATTCAATATTGTGTACACTCGAGTTCCCAGTTTGCAAACTCAACCTCGACTCGGTCAAGGTGTTCAGCCGTACAACTACTGTACAACTAATGTTCAACCTCGATAATTGAATTATTAATATTAAATGAATAAGAGCATTTAGAATAAATATTACTTTATAATCACTTTAACTTAATAAAAAAAGTACAGACAATCTTCGTAATAAATGGTGGTATGTCTCATTTAGTATGAATAATTTTATGAAAATCTATATACTTCTATATATAATATGATATAATTATAAAATAATATATGTTTAAAATTTTTTAGTCTATTGATAACATATATATTTTTACAAATATAATTGTTCAAACTCAAAGTTTTGTTTTAAAAAAAAATATTTTTACTATAAAACTATTTAATAGATTAAACTTTTAGTAATATCGACGTTGTTAAAAACTAATCTAGACGATCATTGGAAGGATAAATTAATAAAGTTTATAATAAGAATTTTATTTTCTCGGAAATTGTTGGGTTGAATGAATGAAATATAATTTCTTGATGATATTATTGGAACAATTAAATAATATAAAAGTTTAACAAAAAAAAAAAGTGAACACAAGTCTCAAAATTCCATCAATCTATCGTACTTTGAGGCAGCCTTTAATTTGCCCAACGCAATCCACAATCAAGTTTGCAAAAAGAAAATATACAATTTTTATTATTATACGAAAAGAAAAAACAATACAGAATGTGATATCTAAGCAAGTATTCGCCCCTTCATCATTATATAGAGAGGTCTATATACGTCCACATGTATTCATAATTTCAATTTCAAGTATCAAAAATAAAAAAAATATATATATATATGTTTTTTATGACCTTATAACGTGCATTTATGAAATTATTTTTATAATAATTCTATTAATAAATATAAGATAATATATGTTCAAAGATTTTTAACTATTTGACAATGAATGTTTATACTCTTAGTACATATCATCATAAATTAAATAACAATCAACCTTATCTCCAACAGGTCAAACGAGTCTATGCCAATCAACCTTAGGTCTCCTGTCCCTAATCTCATTCCACCACCACCGAATAGAGAATTGAGCCCCTTCATCAGAAACTAAATGACGAACCTTATCTCTAAGCTTCAACACATTCCTTAGCAACATTCCTTAGCAGTTAGCACCCATCCAAAAGAGACACTGCTTTCCACTTGTAATAAATCTTTATCTTTAGGGTGCATTTGGTTCACAGAATGTAATATTATCAGTGAGAATAAAATATTACCATGTAATAGGATTACTGAGAATGTTGTATTTTGTGTTTGGTTAGTTTAGCAGGAATGTAAGATTATCGTGTTTGTTTAAAGGAATGAAAGATTACTGGAATGTATATTTGACCAAATTATCCTTATTATATATTTATTTTTTAACAAGTTGAATTCTACTATAATATTATTATAATTAATATATATATTTTCTTTAAAAAATTTAAATTCATATAATTTATATAATTTTTTTACAAAATTAAAAAGATAAATAGGTTTAATGAATGATTACAGTTTTATTTTAACCCTTGAATTTCATATAAAATTTTAATTATAGATTTTTTTTTTTGTAAATCTAAAATAGTTTAAGGATAAATTTATAATTTAACATTCGTAGAATTTTTATTATTCAACGACAGAAGAAGTATATTTTTGAAAAAAAAAATTAAGGGCATTTTAGTCCAAAACGACAGTAATCTAACAATACATAAGAGAAGGGGTAATCACATTCCTGATAATATACCCCAAAAATCCACTGTTGGTAATAAAAGATTACCGGGAATAAGATTAATGGCCAACCAAACGGGAAATAAAGATTTCATTCCCTCGATAATACAACATTCCTTAAACCAAACGAGCCTTAAAGACATAACTTCGCACCCAAGCAACCCACAAAGAAACCTCGGAAGCAAGCAAATTCTTCAACAACGCCAACAACATTTCAAAATAAAAAAGCTTTGACTAATAAATAATTATTAATCATTTCAAAATATTGGCTAAGAAAATTCTAATCATTCCAACTTTCCTCCAACATCCCAACAAACATTGCCTAATAAGTATTAAAGCACCTAATCATAATATAATAAAATGAAAATAAAAAAGCTTTGAATTTTAATCATCAAAATAAAACAAAATGCAAAAATAAAACAAAAACAAATCTTAAAGGACAAAATTTGTTTCCATGTCATTTTCAATTCCATTATTTTCATAACAAGTCAATAAACTTACTCTTGAAGCCCAAAATGCATGTATCGTTGTGGGCAAATGAGGGCCAACTAGAGCAAATGTGTTGACAAAATTATTGCAAAAAGGACCACAAAAACACTTAGTCTTTCATGCCACAAAATTTCCCCTTTATTAACACGACTTAATATTATTTTTGTGCAAGAACTAAATAATATTGACGGTAAAAGAATTTTTGTTATTTTTATTCAAATGGTTAAGAGATATATTTAAATATATATCTTATATTTATCTCAGATTAATAAAAATAATATTATTTTGCATAAGTTATTCAAATATTTATTTAAATAATTATTATAACAATTTAATAATAATCTATACACATAATATGTTTAAATTTTGAGAATATCATATATTGAGAAATTTTTGAAAAATAAGGAATTTTAAAATTAGGAATTTAATAATAAATAAAGTTTCAGCTTTATTCAGGTCCCTCCTCTAACGCCTGCATTTCAATTTTCTCCCGGGAACTTCCTTTTTAGCTATTTCAGTAAATTGATTCCTTTAATATTATTCTTAAAAATATACATTTCTGAAAATATTCATCAGATCCAATCCGTTCCTTTCTTGTTCTTGTAGTTTGATAAAACCCAAAGTAGAAGCAGAAAAAAGAAGAGGAAAAAAAAAATGAAGCAGAAGCTCAGTTGTTTCTCCCCAAAACAATTTTGATAGTTGTTTCTTGTTCAAAGCTTTGTTGTTGTACCAACCTTAATCTGTTTTGTAAGATTTTAAAAAATAGTTTTGGTTTTTTTCTTTTAAAGCTGTGATTTTTGCTAGTTCTATGGTGTGATAGTTCCAGTGGTTCTGTTTCTTTTAACAAAAATTCGAAACGGGTTTTCTCTTTTTGTTTTTTTTTTCCGATTCACTGGTTTTTTTTAGTTCTACGTTTCCATTGTTTTTTGTTCACTTCAAATGCATAAGATGGTTCGATCTTCTTTTTCAAAAAAATTTCAAAGTGAATTTAGCGAAGGAATAAGTTTTATTTTTTAAGAAAAAGAGTTTATTTTTTTAGTTTTTCCCCCGCGAAAATGATGCTATCGGCGTCTCCGACGACTTTAGCGAAAAGTTCGCTCGAAGAAATGTTAGAGAATCTCCGGCAGCGAGATGAGGAGGAGAAGCCTAAAGACTTACCGCCGACTTTACCATCGCGGCCAACATCCAAGGCCAGACTTCCCTCGGCCCGCCGGTCCCTTCCGACGAACTTCAAAGTCGTTATCAGCGGCGAAAACGGAACCGGCGGCGGCTTAAGTGAAGTGGAACGGATAGAGGAAACTGAAAGAAATGAAGAGGATGGTTTTGGGAACAAAAAATTGAGGAAAGATGTGAATATGGGTTCACCTTATTATTTAGTACAACAGAAGAAAGGGGAAGATAAGGTTTCTGATGCCAAAGATGAGGTGAAGGAAATTGGGAAAGGGAAGACGAACTGGAAGGTGAATGATACTATTGAGTATTTCACTAATAAAGTAAGTGTTAAGTTGAAACTGTTTCGTCTTCTTCTTCTTTATTGGATCGATTTGTTTTATGGGCTAGACATCCATGTTTTAATACCTTTTAGGAAGTATTTAATAATTACAGGCGAAATTTGAAGAAAAAAAATATTTTTGTAGCTTTCTTTTAACTTAGATCGATTTTGATTATTGTTGTTTCTCACTTAAGGGTTGATATCCGATGGACGCATCTTTTTTCTATTTTTCTTTGCCTTTTTTGAGTTGATACAATGCGTTGGATTAGTAGGCATGGGGTAAAATCTGCGATCTTTCATGGAATGAGAACCTGCTACTGCTGAGTAGTTTTGCCTTTGTTGTTGTTTTAATATTTTGATGAAATTGACTTGGGAGTGCTATGCTAGAAATTGTTGTTGATATGAAATTTTGATTACCACTTCTGAAACATAAAAAAGGAAGCATCACCTTGGACTTTTGTTTTCTTCTGTGAAAATAATTTAAGTAAATCTAATTTGTCGAGAGAGGATTTGGTTACAGAAACTTCGTGTTTGGTGCCGGCAACCGAAAGGGGTCTGGGAGCCTGGAGCTATACAATCTACATCAGGAGAGGAATCATTTGTCTCTCTTTCTAATGGAAATGTAATTTCATATGTATCTTGCTTTTTAAATTGTATAACGAGCCTTCAGTTTTTCTTTCGGCGGGTTTTCATTTAGGTTTACATTCTAATGTTGGTATAGGTTGTAAAAGTATCAGCCAACGACCTCTTACCTGCAAACCCGGATATTTTGGAGGGTGTGAATGATCTAATACAGCTTGTTTATTTGAATGAGCCATCAGTTCTTCACAATCTTAAGTATAGATATTATCGCAATATGATATATGTAAGAATGATACCATCCTTACTCATGTACTAATGAGAATTATCTCCGCTACCAAGCTTCATGTATACTTTTTTTCTTTATGTAGAGTAAAGCAGGTCCAGTTTTGGTTGCAGTCAACCCGTACAAAGACATCCCAATTTATGGAAAAGATTTTGCCACCAGTTATAAAGAGAAAGCTACAGACAGCCCTCATGTTTTTGCTGTAGCAGACACTGCTTATAATGAGATGATGAATGGTTAGCATAAACAAGTGATAATTTGCTTATGGTGTTAAAGTAGTGTGTTTTTTGTACTCTATTAATTGTCCATTGTTAAAATTTTGCAGGTCGAGTCAATCAGTCTATAATCATAAGGTCTGTGGGATATTTAATATTTGTCTTAGGATATGATAGTAGATTACTGCGGTTCTTTAAGCCCATTATTAGTTTTATGACCTATGGAATAACATAAGTTATCTTGTAGTGGAGAAAGTGGAGCTGGGAAGACTGAGACAGCAAAATTTACAATGCAGTACCTAGCTGCCCTAGGAGGTGGCAATGGCGTGATAGAGTCTAAAATCCTTGACACGCATTTTATACTTGAAGCATTTGGTAATGCAAAGACATCTAGGAATGACAATTCTACCCGATTTGTGAGTACTTCTTTTCCCCTTCGTTCATTTGTTCCACTTATATATTGAAGGCAAATCTATATGAAATTACTCTCATGTTAAAGGATCCTTGGTAATATTACCCTAGATGACCAATTTCCATGCTGGTTTGTGTATAACATTTGCGATAGCTCAGAAAACTGAAAAATACGACGTTCATTATTCTGTTTTGGTGCAGGGCAAAATTTCTGAAATTCATTTTACCGAGCCGGGGAAGATATATGGTGCCGGCATCCAAACTTGTAAGCTTGTTGAATTTGAAAATTTTCTATTATTACTTTTCAGTAATAAAATAACATAGATTGATCCTGGTTACTGACTTTATTTTTGTGCTAATGTTGATTCATCAACGACAATCCTGGATAGTTCTTCTGGAAAAGGTAAGTTCCTGACCAAGTTAAAGTTCATATTATCTCTGTTATCATGTATAATATCTGATGTGGATCTTTTTGATGTCACCTTTGAGCAGTCGAGAGTAGTTCAGGTGGCTGCTGGTGAACGGTCTTACCATATCTTTTATCAACTTTGTGCTGGTGCTCCACCTGCTCTAAGGGGTACTTTTTCATTTTTAAAACATTTCATAGTCAATGCTAGTTCAGAAAAGTTGTGGTCTTGAAATAGATAAATGATATTGTTTACAGTTCTTCAGCTTCTTTACTTGAATCTGTGAAATATATTTATGATCCTTTGAATTATGGCTTTGCAGAAAGATTGAATCTTAAAACGGCAAACGAGTACAACTATCTTATCCAGAGTGACAACTTGGTGATCAATGGTGTTGATGATGCTGAGAAGTTCTGTAAGCTTGTGGTAATTCAAAAGACTAGACTTTAATGTCACCATAATAGTGCACTCCATTCTTCGCTTCGTCTTTTTAGCAATAGTTTGCCCATTTCTGCAGGAAGCCTTGGACGTTGCTCAAATTTGCAAAGAACAGCAAGAGCAAGCATTTGCAATGCTTGCTGCAGTATTATGGCTGGGAAATATATCATTTCAATTAATTGACAATGAACATTATGTGGAGGCAGTAGCCAGCGAAGGTAATAATGTGGGATTTAACTTTGCACATGTCTTTTTTTTCCATGTATTTTTTTCTTCCAATAGAGAGAAACTGGATACCTTCTTTGTTGTAGCATTTTTTAAGGAACTGAATTTGCATAGGCATTGCATAAAACAAGGAATATAATGCCTGTAGGTAGCCCTTTTGTTTCACTTGTGAGTTGAAGTGGGATTTTTCCTTGTCACAGCTTTAACCAGTGCTGCCATGTTGATGGGTTGTGCACCTCATGAGTTGATGCAAGCTTTATCTACCCATAGAATCCGAGCTGCCGAGGATAATATTGCTAAGAAATCGACATTGCAACAGGTTCCTCTAGTTTTTGATAGCAAAATTATTCTTCCTCTATTATCTTTTAAGTCGCATTCTATGTTTTCTATGATGCACACATTAACAACCTGAAAACATGTTGGTTATAACTTGTTATATAGGCAATTGACACAAGAGATGCATTAGCAAAATTTATCTATGCAAGCTTGTTTGACTGGCTCGTGGAGCAAATCAACAAGTCTCTTGAAGGTGGTAAAAGATGTGTAGACAGGTCCATAAGCATCCTTGATATTTATGGGTTTGAGTCATTTAAGGTAAGTAGTTTCTAATCAGCTATTTAAATATTATAATTGTGTAGAAGTTTGTTCAACTTATGATTTTTCTCTTCCGACTTCCAGAAGAATAGCTTTGAACAGTTTTGTATAAATTATACAAACGAGAGGTTGCAACAACATTTCAACAGGCACCTATTTAAGCTTGAGCAAGAGGTAAGGAACTGAAATTTTAAGCTGGGTTTCCAGTTCTCAGCCCTTTTTTTACCTGGCATGCAAATTAATTTCCAGTAGTTACAGTTCTAAATGATCTGGCTCTCTGCTGTTGATTCTTATCTATGGATTTGGTTTCCCTTCACTAAAATTATTATTTTCACCAACTCCCATCTTTTATGTATTTCAGGTGTATGAGTTGGATGGGATCGATTGGACCAAAGTTGATTTTGAAGACAACCAAGAGTGCTTGGACTTATTTGAGAAGGTAATTTGGTTCAATAGTTTGTTTGTCAGCAATGTTCGCTTGGAGTTTTTTAAGGGATCATTGGACTCTCTTCTATATATTATATAGCATGCAGTTCTTGCTAAAGTATATCGTCTTAGTTTTGGTGCTGATTCTTGGTCTTATATTCTATTGTTTTCCTTCTATTCTTAGTTTCTTACTAAATTTGTTGTCTTAGCTTCGGTGCTGATGCTGGCTGAAATTTTTATTTCCTTTTCATATTTGGTTGCGTTTGAAAGCTAAAATGTTTTTTTTGGTGTTTATTTTGCAGAAACCATTGGGAATACTTTCTTTGCTGGATGAGGAATCAAATTTCCCCAATGCAACTGATTTTACCCTTGCTAGTAAGTTGAAACAACACCTGCATTCTAATTCTTACTTCAAAGGAGACAGAGGCAGGGCCTTTGGCATTCGACATTTTGCAGGAGAGGTCAGTCAGTTTTCTTTTGAGGATTAAGAAGATTTTCTTTCATTCAATTTTAAAGGAAGATAATCAAACCCTGAGATGCCATTAAGGAAGTCTAAATTTTTTGAAAAGGCTGAATTTGTTTGGCTGGTTGATTCAAATGGTGTGGAATACCAATAAGATGGTAAATTGGTAATGTTTAAAGCATAGATGAAATTACTGATTTTTGGAGTTCTGCCAGGTACTGTATGATACTAATGGCTTTCTGGAAAAGAACCGAGATCCCCTGTACTCGGGGTTGGCCCAGCTTCTATCATCTTGTAGTGGCCAATTGCCACAAACATTTGCCAAAAAAATGCTTGATCAATCTATGAAACCTGCAATTTCATCAAACGCACCAAAGCAAACTGTTAGCATGAAGTTCAAGGTATATTTGCTTCCTTTGATCCAAATATACCTGGTGGTTGTAATGCAGTTCAAACTGATCAATAAAACTGCAAAGCATTTTACTTTTCCCATCTCTATCGGAGAGACTTTCTTACATTAATGTCCATTATTTAGCATTCCAACATTTTCCAATCCTTCGAATCATTGAATGTAATATACTCTTAGAATAGTTATGGTTCTTGCATGTATTTTTCTTCGGCATTTGATGTGAATTTACCTTTGAAATCTTTTGCATTCCTTTGGCAATGCAGGGGTGGCTAATATAGTAGTAGGAATATTGGTGTTTACTGCACAATGGCATGCTTTGTGAAATGTTTTTTTTTCTGTACTGGCAGAGCCAACTCTTTGAACTAATGCACCAGTTGGAGAATACAACACCTCACTTTATTCTCTGCATAAAGCCAAACTGCAAGCAGGTCCCCGACACTTTTGAAGATGATCTTGTCCTGAAGCAACTTAGATATTGTGGAGTCTTAGAGGTTGTTAAAATCTCAAGATCAGGATATCCTACTCGAATTACTCATCAAGAGTTTGCAGAAAGGTAGCAGCTAAAACCTTATGTAGTTTATGGCTTGTTTTTAAGTTTAAAATTGTTCTCTCTTCTGCATAGTTCTCATATATTCAAGCATTTCACAGGTACGGGTTCCTACTGTTGGAGACTAATGCATCTCATGACCCATTAAGTATTTCAGTTGCTGTTCTAAAACAATTTAATGTCCTCCCTGATATATATCAAATTGGCTATACCAAACTGTTTCTTCGAGCTGGACAGGTAAGTTTTATACCCTTGGCTTTTTTTTTCTTCATGTTCCTTTCAATTTTTGTGCTGTAATTTCCAATATTGGTACCCCTTTGACCAAGACTTCCAGGACCTATATGACCCTATAGAAAATTGCAAGACCTATACTTTCTGTATCATTCTGTGGCAAATAAAGTTAACATACTGAGTTTTGGAAAATATAGATACCAACTTATTCCCTTCTATTTATTGTTAAATAATGTATGAAATAATTTCTTTGATGCTTTTATTGTCTGGCTGTGGCCGACATGCAGATTGGTGTATTGGAGGATAGGAGAAAACAGGTGTTGCAAGGAGTAATAGGGGTTCAAAAATACTTCCGTGGTCACCGAGCTCGTTGCCTTTTCCATGAGCTCAACAAAGGAGCAGAAAATATACAATCATGTAAGCAACTTCTTCCAATCAAGATAACTTACTGAGAGATTATTCGATTGATGGATATTTCCTTTGCGATGCAGTTGTCTGTGGTCAAAGTATCCGAAGGAAGTATGCTATTGAGGCACATAGGTGCTCAGCATTTGCTTCTCAGTTACTAGATGAGCAGTTGACATCAGTCATATATTTACAATCTGGTAAATCCCTTGTGTGCTCGCTAAATTGTGGCTTTCAATTTTCTACTGTTTTCTTATCAGTATCATGTTTTTCTCCACTGCAGTAATCCGTGGGTGGTTGGCCAGGAGAAATTTCAATAACATACATAATTCGGAACAGTTGAACTGTGAAAGCGTAAAATCTAGACGAAAGACTGGTAGGAAGCTTTCTGAGGCAAAGGTATTCCCCACGGTTGACATGGTAACATACTAGAATTTTTCCTCTTTCCTTCCCTTCCATTTTCTTGTAAAGATATTTTCCGAACCGGTTTTATTTTCTCTTAGTTGCATGTCTCCGAGCATGTTTTACTTTCTTGATGCTCTCAAGGATTTACTCGAACCGTAATTTTGGCTGACCAGGAAATACCACACGAGCAACAGATTCAAGTCGTACCTTCTGCAATGGCAGAACTTCAAAGAAGGGTACTCAAGGCAGAAGCAACTTTGGGGCAAAAAGAACAGGAAAACGTCACTTTACGTGAGCAATTACAACAATATGAAGCAAAGTGCTTGGATTTCGAGGCAAAGATGAAGTCAATGGAGGACATGTGGCAAAAGCAATTGGCGTCACAACAGGTGAGTTTGCTTGTTTATATATATATATAACTATTTTGCTTCAAGTAATTGTTGTTGACGGACACAAAAGGTCCCCATAGTCGCTGCTAATGCATATTTAATAATTTAATAACTTGGATGTATTATCAACTTTGATTGCATTTATTGCAGACAAGTCTTGCTGCAGCCAGAAAGAGTCTTGCTGCTGATAGTGCTGCTGGTCAGCTAGGAAGGGCTGGTGTGGTATCGCCTCGTCATTATGATTCTGAAGATGTGTCCATGGGATCTCGAACTCCTGGTGTGGATACACCTCTTTGGGGAAGAGAGAATGATTCGTCGAATGCAGTGGGAAATCTGCTAAAAGAGTTTGATCAGAAGAAACAAGCTTTTGATAATGATGCAAAATCTTTGGATGAAACCAGAACGGCACAGCTAGCTTCTTATGTGAATCCCGAAGATGAGCTTCAAAGATTGAAACGCATATTCGAGACATGGAAGAGAGATTTCAAGATGAGATTGAAGACAACAAAGGCAAAACTACATAAGCGTGGGTGTCAAGAATCAGACAAAACTCGAAGAAAATGGTGGGAGAAACTTAGTTCAAGATCGTGATTGAGTCCCACCTTGAAACGATCATCTCGATTGATCAGAGAATTGTTGCCTAAACGATCACCTGCATCCCTTCTTAGGTACCGGTTTTCATTTTCGTCTACAAATATAAATGTCTGTCCTCCATGGCCGGTGAGGGAGCATTGTGCTTGTATATCTTACCAATTTTTGTTACTCGTTGGGAGGAATCATCGTGTGCATAGACAAAATAGGAATTCGCCGCATCTGAGACCGCTGTCTTCTTCTAGTAGTTCGGTTTAGTTTATGTATATTCAGTTGTCAGTTATATAAGCTTCGACTTTGTAGTTTTCTGTATACAGATGAAATGGTAATTGTTCATATGCTTTCCCCAAATTATTGTCATAGAATCTGATATTTCTTTGAGCGCTCCATATCTGTTGAACCCTAAATCGAACTGGAACATGAATTTCATTGAATTCTCAGTAATGCACGTTTTAAATCTTCAAAATCTACAAGTACATGGATGATACATATCTCCATTCTTAACACACAAGCAAATTATGAAACAAGTTCGATAGCATGCGGGTGGGGGTTATTCATTTACGATCCGGGTACAAACTTGGTAGCATAGACCCAAGCATTGTTGGCAACAGGGTTGTCAAGGTGGTCCAAGAGGTTTTCCAGGGGACCTTTTCCAGTAACAATGGCTTGGACAAAGAAACCAAACATAGAAAACATGGCTAGTCTTCCATTCTTGATTTCTTTAACCTTAAGTTCGGCAAACGTGACAGGGTCATCAGCAAGACCAAGAGGATCAAAGTATTGACCACCAGGGTAAAGGTCATTGCCTTCTCCGACACCAGGGAGACCGTTGATACGGAAACCTTCAACGAGACCCATGAGGATGACTTGAAATCCGAGGACGGCAAGAATGCTTTGAGCATGGACGAGATTGGGGTTGCCGAGGTAGTCCAAGCCACCTTCTGAGAAGATTTGAGCTCCAGCCTTGAACCATACCGGTTCCTTGAAGTCCACTCTAACCCATTTCTCAAGGACTTCCGGGGTGATGCAGCCTAGTGCTCCCAACATTGCCCATCTTCCATGGATCACCTAGGCAACACAAACTCTTATATGCTTATAAAAAAACACAGCATTGGATTTAGTATTAAAGGAAGCACAAACAGTTTCAGTAGCTAACAAAGCTCACCTCAAGAGCTCTGTTCCTGGCAAAGGCCTCAGGGTCGGCTGACAAACCAGCAGTGTCCCATCCATAGTCACCGGGGAACTCTCCGTTCAAGTAGGATGGAATCTGAGCTGAAAAGGGTCCCAAATACTTCACTCTGTCTGGTCCATACCACAGTTCATTTCCCTACACATTACATTACACCCCAAATGCAAAATTCAGTATACAAGATGAAAAAGGCAACCCCCTCCCCCCAAAGAACTTACCATTGTGTATTTTCCAGTGCCAACAGAAACATCTCTGAGAGGGTTGGCCTTTTTGTTTTGGCCAAGAAATGGGGTTGGCCTAAGGACAGTTCCTGAGCTAAGCATCGAAGCCATTGCCTCTCAGAGTTAAAGGGCAATGCCTTTGTTTTTTCGGTTTATTTAGTTGATTTTAGCTTTAACAAGGGAAATGCATGGAAGGGGAAGTGTGAGTTTTTATATATATATATATACGTAAAAGAAATAAGTAGACAATAGGAAAGGAAGAAGGAATTGGTGGAGATGAAGTAAGGGATTGTGGTGGGGACTAGGGGCTGGGGAGATTTCAGAAATCAGCCAATTAAAAGGCTGCAAAGGATTTGAAGTATCTCCAACTTTTATCCTTATATCCATACATTCTATCTTCTAAAACTGTTGGGAGTTAGTGGTTTGGGCTTTTGAATTGGAGGGAGGGATATTTTGGGCTTTTTCTCCTGGGACAAAATATATAGACAAAGGAATATAGTGTATTGTCTTTCGAGGAAGAGAAAAATAATGCGGTGAGCGTGGATCGAACACGCGACCTTCAGATCTTCAGTCTGACGCTCTCCAAACTGAGCTATCCCCGCTTATTGACTATTGCTGTTGCTTTTCATTTCAAATCGGACGAAATAGCAACCTAAGAAATTATATCACAATCCGACAAAATTAAACCCCCGACACGAAGGATCAGGTTCAGATCCGGTCATGGGGACACTAATAATTTAGCAGCAGCATGTACCGAAAGCCGAGTAAAAAGGAGATAAATTACATGCTAAGTTGATTGCAGAAAATTAAACTTCAAAAGAACGAATAGAACAATTACTAATCCGAGGTGAAGGCTTGTTGAATCTCTTTGTTGCAATCTCTTCAGCATAGTGTATTATTCCATCTACCGGAGGCACGTTCCTGACATTCCTGCCAAAATTAATCGATGAATTAAAGCATAGCTTATTATTCCATGCAATCTCCTTGCAAAAGGAACGAATAGCACAATCACTAACCCGAGGAGAAAATATACGTGTCAAGGAATAATCACTAACCCCTGATGATCGAAAAGCTGTCAATGACCCTTTCCGGCCTATATTGACAGAGCTATCTTCATCATCGCTGAAGGAGGTTGAACTTCCTATTCCCGTCTCATATTTACTCCTGACATTCTATAATATTGAAGAACGAAAAGTTTAGATGCAAAAAATGTTGTATAAGAAAGCTTCAACGTTCTAAACAAATTGAAAGTGGACCATATTCAATCACTGTTGATCTGCACGGAGCAAATGCAAATTAAGATCACATCAAAGGACTGCACACTGGATGTGAACTGAAAAGTATCCTTAGGTGAATTGAAGCATCGTTTATTATTCCATCTGCCAAAGGCACTATTGATAAAGAATGATTGACTAAGGAACATTTTCGCAATTGGGGTTTGTGGTAATTTTTATATCAATCAACTCGAAATGTTTGCCTCGAAGCACTCCCCAACTTTGAGAATCAAGTCTTCCTCTTCAAACTTTGAAGCATCTTAATCTTTTCCTATTTTGTTCTGTCAATAAGAGAGTAAAGAAATCACTAACACAAACAAAAATATGATGAAAATAAATAACTGTCCAACTAACAAAAGCAATCGACCAAACCATAGGAATATGTTATAAAAAACAATGCGGTGATCAAGGATCAAACATGCGACCTTCAGATCTTCAGTCTGACCCTCTCCCAACTGAGCTATCCTCGCTAGTCGAATCCTGTTGTTAGCTATCCCAAATCTACATATCATTCGCTTTCCAGGTTGAATTGTGCTGAAATAATTTTATTCTGCTGCATTTTAGTTGAATAGAATTGAAATAATATTACATAAAAAGGAGATAAATAGGCAAAGCAATATAAACATGCTGTTGACTGCAGAAAATTAAAATGCAAAAAGAACGAATGAAGAATAACCACTAACCCCAGGTGAAGGCTTGTTGAATCTCCTTGCAATCTCTTCAGCAGCATCGTCGTCGTTGTCGTCACCATCATCATACTTGTTCTGTTGTTCATTAACATTTTATGAACTTAAGAGTCATCAGATTTCCATCCCGGCTTAGACGTAGATCCTCTACCTCTTCCCCTAGCCCTAGGAGCTGCTCTCTTGCGTCCTTACCTTGAACAATTTCATCATTTTCCTTCAAAAGCTACGGAACACTTATTCAGATTGTATTTACATTATTCTTGAAATTGTGACAAAATTAACTGACTGAAAGGTATCTCATACTGAACTGTCGTCAACCTCGATAATTCCACGTCCTTCACTTGAAGCAGAGTTGATGTTCTCGTCATCAGTAATACTGAGAACTGCAGCTGATGCAGCAACCGGTGCAGATCTGCATTAGGAAAATTACAAATGAAATTTTTGCTAGTGATGCAAATTTCATTACTTCTAAGTTGCATGCCAACGGGTTAAGATCAAAGTGTCACCTTTAACAAGTTCTGGAGCATCACCAGATGATATAAAAGCTGCCAATGACCCTTTCCGGCCCATATTGGCAGAGCTTGACATCTGTGTTGTATCTTCACCATCTCTAAAGGAAGTTGTACTTCCTATTACGTATCATTTTACTCCTGACAGTCTATAATATTGAAAAACCACAAGTTTATATGCAAAGAATGTTGTATAAGAAGACTCTAAACAAATAGAGAGTGGAGCACATTCAATCATTGTTGCTCAGCACGGAGCAAATGCAAATTAAGATTACCTAAAAGGACTGCACAGTGGATGTGAACCGAAAAGTATCCTTAGGGTGTGAGGACCTTTCCTTGACACGTTCCTGCAAAATTAATAGGTGAATTGAAGCATAGTGTATTGTTCCATCTACCGAAGGCACTATTGATAAAGAATGATTAAGGAACATTTTCGCAACTGGGGAATTTAGCATTATAAGTTTGTGGTAATTTTTATGCCAATCAATTGGAAAAGGGAAACTTTAAGAATCAAGTCTTCCTCTTCAAACTTTGAAGCATCTTAATATTTTCCTATTTTGTTCTGTCAATAAAAGAGTAAAGAAATCACTAACACAAACAGGAAAACGATGAAAAGAAATAGCTGTCAAACTAGTAAAAGCAATTGAGTAAACCATAGAATTATGTTATAAAATAACAGCCAGAAAGAATTTATAACAGGGACATCCAATTGACATAAAATCAAAGGGGATAAAAAAACAAGAAGCCTTTCCCAAAATGCAAGGTGAGATACATGGATCAGATAAGCCATTAGTTCTATTTAGGACCACATCTCGAGTAAAACCAATAAAAGTGAGGCACAAAACCATGATTCAAACATTGTCACAAGATCATCACTGTGTTAATTCACGATCTGGGGAAAAAATCTTTGTACAGATACTACGAACATAACAAGTCTAGAAAATGATAACAAAATTCTAAGAATCTTCATTTCTAGTTCTCACTTTATAAAGTTCTTCATTTCTTCTTTCGGATTTTTTATGTTTATTTTATACTAATCCTAAGAATCTTCTGAACCATCGTAACTAAATTCAACAAATTTTAATAAGGATTCTAATCAACTCTCTATAAGATTATTAACACTATGTATGCAGAGGTACGAGCGTTCATTGTCAAATAATTAAAAATCTTTGTACAGATACTACGAACATAACAAGTCTAGAAAATGATAACAACTAATCCTCATGCATGAAAATAATCCCAGAAAGGGAAGCAAAAGTGTAATGTAGCCTTGTCAATGTTAATCGTCTGCAGTTAATTAATTAGTCTTAAAACTCATTACTTTGTTTCCCCCACTTAAATATTATCATAGGCATTGACTACACCTTCTTATAATAGCATGCAATGTTTGTCGGGAGAAAATCATTTTAAACATGGCACGATAAAGTTATCAACAGAAACCCTAATTAAACCTATATATTAATATAATAAAATGATATAGAAAACAAAAGTATATTAACTTATTATATCATCGGATGCTTATCATATTTGGAGATGCCTTATGGGATTTGTCTTCCTTTTATGGTTGGAAAACTTCGTACGGATCTAATTGACAAGCTTTCACTTCGATGATTTAACGAGAGGCACCAAAACTTTTGAAAGCGATTTCCCCAATGCATTTTCCGGGAAATTTCGCGCCGGGGGGTACGTAGGTAGCTACGTATGAAAAACTCCAAATCAAGGTTTAATTTTAAGTGGTCCTCGAGATCTCTTCACATGTTTTAGGTGCCCCTTTCTTTCAAAATATACCAAGTTTTTCGGTGTGCCCATGGTTAGGGACTCGGAGAAGAATTAAACAAGAAAACATGTGATAGTTGATTAGGTTTGCATAATGTAGCTTGTGATATTTTTTTCCCTCGCAAAGAGTCACTACAAAAAAATTTGCTTATTGATGACAACTAAAATAACGTCACTAAAACTTACATTTACGTCACTATTTGTATTTTGTGACTTAAAGTTTAACGTCACAGCAGACGTCACCTTAGGTGTATCACTAAATGTAAAATGTGATGATGTATATATTTTCATCATGTATTATTAAATATATTGTGACGTTAATGAATAACATCACATTATAATTTACATTCAATGACAATTAATTACATCACCAAAATACATAAAGTTTCATCACTAATTATTCGTATCGTCGTCAATGATATAATAATTTTATTGTGTAAATGACTGAAATAGTATCGTCACAATTTATTTATTAAAAATTAAAAAATAGTAAAATTACAATTAAAATAATTTTTATATAAATTACAATAAAAGAATAGCGTTTCTGTAAAATACAATGAATGATGAAAATTTCCATAATTTATAATAAAGGACAACATTTTTTTATAAATTACAATAAAGAACATTTTTTGTAAATTACAATAAAAAGAAATTATATTTTATAAATTACAGTAATGGCATATACTTTATGTAAATTACAATCAAATATCATATTTTTACAATTGCAATAAAGGCCCAAAATTATACAACCATTGCATTTTTATCCTTTCCAACTAAATTACCGAAAAGCTCCACCACTACCTCTTGCTCACCATTGTTGCCAGCCACCTTTTAATCGATATGAAACCAGTAAAGGTGTACAATTAACATTAAGCAATAGTCCTCTTAGGTGGAGCTTCTGCCGTGGAGAATAAGAATAATTATTTGATTGAATCGGGTATGATTTTTCATTAAAGTTAGAAAGGATGGACCACACACGACTCTTCTAAATAAGACAGAGTGAACTGTTATACATCCCTCCGTTAGCTAGAGTATTAGTTGACCCTTATTCCCATATGTAATGGAGTAAGGGGAGGTAGGATAGTAGGTTGCCCCCAGCGCCAGGTTGAGAGCAGTTTTCGTAGGAGACCTCTGAATTATGAAATGCCCTCCATGAGACTCGATCCCACGACCCCAAGGATAAAAACCTTGTGCTCTACCAACATTAGCTAAATATCTCCCTATTATAGCGTCGAGATGCCTCCATTTGTATAAACACGAGATGTCTTCGTGGGTCTTCCACTATTAGATTGATGCTAGGAATATTTAGCAAGGACGTCTCTAATAATTTTGTAGAGATATTTTCACCCGTTCAACGATGAAGTAAACTAAGTTGAAAAATTTTACTTCATAAAAAGATACGGAACACACGCCCCTTTGTCCAAATCACAAAGGATGAACCATCAAAAACACAAACAAAAACAAAGATACAAATAGAACATAGCCTCCTCTTCTTTTTCAAACACCATCCTTGGACAAATCACCTTGTAGCACTCCTTACACTCTGGAGGGACAAGGTGTTGTGCTTTACCCAAGCTTCACCGGAATGACCAGACAGTATGAGAACAACAAATAAGAGTAACTGTTAGACATGACGAGAAGAATAAACCTTAATAACGAGGCATTAAGCTTCCAACCTATAACATAACATCACCATCCTACATTCTAAAGTAGGGGAAAAATTCTAAGACATGTCATAACTCAGAAAGAGAGACAAGTATACAAAAAAGAAGAAGAAGAAATAAATGGCATAAGCAACACTTCAATCACAGTAAATTGTCATTCTTCTCATTATACATCAACAATGATAATTAGGTTTCTAAAAAATCTTCCATTAAATATTTGGAGATGCCTTGTGGGATTTGTCTTCTTTATATGGCGGGTCGTCGTACGGATCTAATTGACAAGTTTCCATTTCAAATATTTAATGAGGGAAAATGTGAGAGTGACATCAAAATTTTCGAAAGCGATTTTTCCATTGTATTTTCCGGGGAAATTCGGAGTGAGAAAAGGCAAAACTGTGCAAATATGCTAAACGTACATAGCTACGTATGAAAAACTCCAATTCAAGGTTTAATGTTAAGTGGTCCTCGAGATCTCTTCACGTGTTAATGGGTCCCTCTCTTTCGAAGTTAGGGTTTGACTATAACTAGTAACTCAATTGTACTATGAAACTTAGAAAATAGAACCCGAGAAGGAAACATGTGCTAGTTGATTAGGGTTGCATCTTGTAGCTAGTAATACTATAGTTGATTTTCTGCCCCCCAACCAATCGGTTCCAGTAAAAAAACTGGTCGAAATTGAAGTGATTTCAGAGATTTTAATGATGGATAACAATATACTTTTAAACTTCACAAATAAATTCAAATATATTTTTACAAGGTGAGGGAATAATTATTCAATGGTCATATTTTAGATATAGTGTCAATCAAGACTTAATTCTAATGGAAGATTGTACCACTGCTTTGGTTAATTAGATCTAAATGCTTATTTTTGATGTGTAACTTTTATTCGGTGACCATTAATCGTACATATATCAATGCCTTAATCGTTATCTATTATCTTTACTCAAACCACCATCATCTTCGTCTCCAACTATTCGAGAATTACTATTGAAACCATAACACCTTCATTCCTTTACCATCGACCTCAATAATTATCCCTAGATATCATTCTCGATAGTCATCTCAAAAATTACTTTCGACCATCTAATCTGACAAACCAAAAACAAAAACCGTCTATTACAACAAATACAATATATATATAAAAAGAAGAATATAAACTCATCTTCGATTTTGGTAGATCTCTGATGGCAGAAGCTTCCATTTGAAGATCCCAATAATAAAAAAGTTGTCCGTTTAGGTTCTACCCAATAGTGACACATCGACCGTCAGTGGTAACAATTGACCATTAAAGGAAAAGAAGATAATAGGAAAAAAAGAGAAAATGAGAGAAAAAAAGCTTATATGGATCTAAAATAACAATATTTTGATGTACATTTAACATTTTATAGGGGTCTAAAATAATATAATTTCGATATAAATTGCAATGCCATTACTTCGTTTATAGCTTAACGGATCAATGACAAAAAAGAAGAAGAAGAAATTTTGATTAAATTCAATTTTTTAAAATTCAATGATCAAAATAGAAACAAAACCAAAATTGAGTGACAAAAAGCGTAATTTTCCATCAAATAAAAATGTGGGCGGGGCTACGGAACACAGATTAGCTGTCAAACATGTTGAGAGGTGGAAAACATTTATTTATAAAAATACATTTATACACAATATTCTTAATTGAATTGTTTAAAATATTTAAATTATCTCATCTTGTGTGAATTTGAATCGTAGTATTTATCTTAGAATATAATGTCTCTATTTAATTAAAAGATAAATAATCCCCTAAAATTCATTAAAGAACAACTACAAAAAATTAAATATTTTTGTGTTTCGGATACTCGAAGGTTATTAATTGCATTTGTCACTCATTTATGCACTCACAGAGACACACAGCTCAATCTTCAAGTCATACAACC